TATCATGTTATATTGTTAATTTTTTTTTTAATTTTATTATTTAAAAATTTATTTGAATTATATGAAATATTTATAATGGACTATTTTTTTCAAAATTCTCCTTTTGATCAATTTACAGCTATGCTATATTTTTTTTTTTTATAAATTAGAGTATAAAATCTCAAAAAGCATTACATCAAACTCTAATAACTATTCTATATTAGTAATTCTACCATTAATTATATAATAAAATATTATTTTTCTCTCATAAATATTTAATTTCAATGTCCCTTATTGATAAGAAGAAATCATATACTATTTATCTTTTCAAAATATAGTTTTTTTAGAGATTTTTCCAAATTTGAAGATTTTTATCTTCTCTCTTTCTTTTTTTTCTATTTTAGCATACAAGATAACATAGTTGTGGGTACAAAAAATTTGCCAAATTTAACTTTTCTCATTTTTAACGTAGCTGTTAGAGATGTTTTCTTAAGCTAGTTTTTGCAAACATAATTTATTTAACATCTAACAATTAATTTATCACTTATAAACTAATTTATCAATCATCAACTAATTTATCTGTTAGTTTATCAAACATAACCGAACAAAATTATTGTTTTCTTATCTGATGTGATATATATATATAATATATGTATAAATTAACATCTAAGCAAAGTTTTTTTTATGGAAAGCGGATATAAGTGTTTAATTCCAAATAGACAAATTAAATAAAAAATTAAAAATGTTTTGAGGACAATAGTAATTAGTGGGGCCCAATCACGCGCTGCAATGAGCAACATAACACGCGCTCAGGTGCACTCGCCCAAAGGGCACTCGCATAAATCGTTTTTCTTCTCTTTTCGCTCAATTTTTATTTTATTCCTTTTTCACATCCACTGAGATCGCCGGAGGAGGTATCGCGACGGCGAATCTTTATTAATTTTGGGGTAGGGTTCCGCCGCATTATATAATTTCCATTTGTAGGGTTTAGGCGGTTGACATGGCGTCGGAGGATGTGGTAGGAAAAACCAGCGCTACGATCGCTAATCTAGCCGAAGAAGCTAAGATTGCTAGCGAAGGTGTTAAGGCTCCTAGCCGTCACGCTTTGCTCAGCATCTGCAAGTCTCTCGTAGCCGGCGGCGTTGCCGGTGGAGTGTTAGTTCTTTCATTCCTATTCCTTCATTTCTAATCGATCAATTTATCTGATTCTGATTTCTTTCATTTCAAGTATTGATGCCTTTTGAGTAATTTCACGATATAGATACATTTTATTTCGAGCTAATGGTGTTGTATATTCGTATCTGTATACCAATACTTTTCTCTCTCATTCGACCTCTCAATTGATTGAAGTCTAAATAAACAGAAACACGAGAATATTGAAGGATGAGATTTTATTTTTCTTCAATAAAGTGACTAAACCTAAAAAATCAGTGAATCTGCCAAAGTTTAACTGTGACTGCATGAGTTAGATTTGTTCTTGAGGTTTGGCCATTTTAGTTCATGGAATTAGATTTACTTAGACGAAATCGAGATATGAAATGATTGTTGTTCTTGTTTAAAAGCTGGTTATAAATAATTCCTCTGATTGTTATACATAATTGAGTAAGATCATCCTTAATTTACTATCCTTAATTTGCTTGTTATTAAGAGTTAGTTATGAGATGTATGTATATCTTTTATGTGTGATCTAACAGTCCACGACTTGTATTCAAAATTGAGCCTGCAGATATTAATGTTGTTAGAAGAGTCTAGTGTCACGGACACAAAGGAAACATGAGCATGTGGTTATTATGAATTTTGGCACTAGTCATTGTCTAAGGTCTTATAAAAGTGTTCTTGTATAAGATATCTATTGGACCTACTTTACTTTATGCTATAATCGGCCAAGCAGCCATAAGAAAGGATCAAGAAAATATTATGATAGATCATATCAGCTTGTGTTGTGGTGCAAGAAACTAATAAAAGTTGTCCATTACAAACAAGTTTGAGTAACGATGACAATGAGGAACTAAGTTATGACAGGGTATAGCAATGGTATTCCCTCTATCTCATGAAAATTAATAGCACTTATATGTAGTAACGATGACAATTAAGAAATAAGGGAAACACTAAAACTTTCATTGGACATCCCAGAATGAAAATGTCCAAATTTGAATGGGATGGATGGAGTATTAAATATTTACTTTAGAAAACTGGATGTTGCAGAGACGAGGATGTTATAACAAAATATATGTAAGGAAAATGGTTGAGATAGCTGGACACATTCAATAAGTATGCCTGGTAAGAAGAAAGATGGTAGAGCTACTAAAATGGAGAAACAAAACTAACATGAACAATGTCTCAGACTAAACACATTAACATGACTTTCATGAATGGAGGGGAAGGATATCTTGGGTTGAATTCTTTTGTGTGTATCAACTTCTAAAATTTGACAGGGTGCAATTAGTAGTTAACGTACTTTGGAAGGGGTAGGATGTTCTCTTGGAATTTTTCTTGTTGGACCCTTTTAAAAGGTCAACGTTTTTCTCTGCTGTTTGTTTATATGGTTACATTATGTTGCAGATCACGAACTGCTGTTGCTCCTCTGGAACGATTGAAAATTCTTCTCCAGGTGGATACTTTATCTAATTGTTTTCTTTTGGTTCCATTTGCAAGTAAACACATATTCTGTCATATTCTCACAATCGGCCAATAATAGATCTCTCACTAAAGTATGATTGAAGAATGACATTTTAGTGTTAAACTCATAGCGTGAAGAAGGTGCAGGAATTCATCTATTTGTATATTGGGATGAGAATTGTGAATATAAACGCTTTTTCCATCTTAACCATAGCAACCTACCTGAAAAGGGAACTAAAAAGGGAAGAACAATGATGAGATGTAATCAGAATCAGAAAGAAAAAAACGGAAGGAAGATTGTAAAGCTATTTCCATAAATTCATGTAAACAAGTGATGTTAGATTAAGCAAAGGCTACGTTCATATTTCCTAAATTTCAGTTTTCTTCTTCTAATAGGAACATTACCTTTGCTGTTGATCTCTTGGATAGACATAAATAAATTGAATTTTCTGATAACCTTGTTTCGCCCCTTAGACGATGAGAAAATATAGGAATACTTAACTCACTTGTTTTGCTTTATTTGCAGGTTCAAAATCCTCATGCAATCAAATATAATGGTACTATCCAGGGGTTGAAATATATATGGAGAACAGAGGGTTTTCGTGGATTGTTTAAAGGCAATGGCACTAATTGTGCTCGTATTGTTCCAAACTCTGCTGTCAAGTTCTTTAGCTACGAGGAGGCATCAAAGTGCGTATACTTGTTTTTTCCTTGTGTTCAGACAACCTAATCCAACTTCATAATGCTTATCAAGATGTGTACACCTACATGTAAAAGCAGATTTCGAAGTCGGTTGAAATTATAGGAAAACAAAAGTGAAAATATATAATGGGAAAAGTTTATGCCTTTGAAATGCAAGAAATAGAGTTGTGACTAAATAAATGTGTAAAAAATCTCTTAATCATGACAAAACGAGGTTCTATATGATAAACATTTGATGAAGATTTGAAAATATTGTTTCACTTGACCCCCCGCCACATAAAATATGTATGCCCCACCGCTAGTGGGAGGTTCTCAAATTTTGTTTTGCTTTATTTATGTGGATATTTTTAAGTATATAACATTTATATACAACAAATACTCACACACACTTCACACCTTTGATGAGGTTTTGAAGTAGATTTGTTGTCTGGTAGTTTTTTTTTTTATATCTGCAAATATCTATCGATTATGCTTCAACATGCTTATGTGTTGCAATAAACAGGGGGATTTTGTGGCTTCATCGGCAGCAACCTGGAAATGGTATGACGATGAACCTTTTCTATTATCTTATACATTATTAGGCCTCCGAGTTAAATAAATGTCATGATACTAGAAGAAAATGAACTTCTAAATTAATTTTTCCAGAGGATGCTGAACTCACCCCTCTCTTACGCCTTGGAGCTGGCGCATGTGCTGGAATAATTGCCATGTCAGCTACCTATCCCATGGACTTGGTTCGAGGTCGGCTTACTGTCCAGGTATTGTTTAAGATCTTTAGATATTGGCATACCGTATATTCTTGTTTTTCCAGCATACTAAATTGCTTTAATGTTTGCAGACCGACAAATCTCCCAGCCAGTATCGAGGAATTGCACATGCTCTTAGAACAGTACTCCGTGAAGAAGGTCCACGTGCATTATATAAAGGGTGGCTTCCTTCTGTCATTGGTGTTGTAAGTTCAAAGTCAAGTATTTTTGTAATAAATTGTTTGACCCTTGTTAAATTTCTAAAATACCCCTCAACAATGACAAAATGGGGGGGGGGGGGGGGGGGGGTCTTGTGGATTAGTATCAATGATAGTATTGTTTTGTAGTGGTTGATAATGTTGGATAGAAAAGTTGCCAAAAGGTAGATACTATAGTTATCTTGGGACATCCTTCCGGAAATTGTTGAATTTATAAGTATTACAGTTGACCTGTTATTAAGAGAACAAAGATGTATGCTTGTTTCTCTTTTAATTTATCATAAGATCTAACAGATAACAATGTCTTTTATTTGTGGTGCTTCTAGGTACCGTATGTGGGTCTTAATTTTGCGGTCTATGAATCATTAAAGGACTGGTTGATTAAATCAAGGCCATTTGGGCTAGTTGAGGATGCTGAGTTGAGCGTGACAACAAAGCTCGCGTGTGGGGCTGCAGCTGGAACTGTTGGCCAAACAGTTGCTTATCCTCTCGATGTCATCCGCCGAAGAATGCAAATGGTTGGTTGGAAAGATGCAGCCTCCGTTGTTACTGCAGATGGCAAGTCAGGACTTGAGTACACTGGAATGATTGATGCATTCAGGAAAACTGTTCGCTATGAGGGTGTTGGCGCGTTGTACAAGGGCTTGGTCCCGAACTCAGTGAAGGTAAGCACGTCATTTATTATAAGCAAATATAAATAACCCAACTCCATTTGCTTTCACTTGGTTAATATGGTTTTAGTTAATTATATTTGGATCTTAGAGATATATCTAGTTGTATTCAAGGAGATGAGATATGAGGATACACGCTACCTGGAGTCCTGGACCGTAGAGACTGCGCACCGAGGAATATTGATTTGATTTATATTGCAGGATTTATTAATTTCAACAATTCGTCAAATCTAGCTCTAAGAAATTCAATGAGTTGGCTATTAATGATATTTATCTGAAGTTTGGTAATTTACCAACCAGAATGCTAGGCAAGGCAGAAACAACTCTACATAGACATGGACAATAAAAAATAGCAGAAACAACTCTACATAGACATGGACAATAAAAAATAGCTCACGTAGCACGTCGTCCCTTAATGCATTTGGTATGTGGGAATTGGGTCAGGATGATATTACAAAAACTTGTTCCACGTTTCTCGAGACATTAGACCGGGACAGGACATGACCTTAGTGGGACAAAAAATCTAAAAGATGAGACAAGACTGCTAACTTGCTAAATTACCCATGTCAAATTAAAACCCTAAAACCCCCTGACCTGCCTACCTCACTTTCATCCGTCCAGTCAAGTTCTGTCCCGTCTGCGTACCAGTCACATACTAAATAAAAGAGAATGCTGAAGGGTCATGTCAAAAAAGAGAATAAAAATTTGAAAAGATGCCATTAGCTGTAGATTTAGAAAGTTCTGTAATTCAAGTTTTATACGTGCAACAGGTGGTTCCTTCGATAGCGATTGCGTTTGTGTCATACGAGATGGTTAAGGATCTACTGGGAGTAGAGATGAGGATATCTGATTGAAAATTTGATGTTATTTTTGCGGGCAGAAGAGGAAAGAGGAGGTAAAAAGCCGTGGAGGTCATATATTTTTTGTTCTCTTCTCTGTTTTCGGTGATAATGTGAAGAGATTTAGAAGTTGTTAGTGTTGATATAGTCGTCGACCTCCAACACTTTCTTTCTTTGTTTCTTTGTTTCTTTCTGCTGTGGTTTTTGGGTGTTGTGATTCAATACACACCAACACCACCTAATAATAATAAGGATGTTTCATAGGGCTGACTGAGGTTGATGATAATGCTACTGGAGTTGTTTTGATCGGTAATTCAGTATTATTATGATAATAATGGCTGTTTTCTGTTCTTTTCTGTTCATATTTTTGGCTGAAAGTTGTTGCTTTTGTTTCTTAATATCAACTCTTTTTCTGCTGACTTTTGGACTGAAGTTTTGAAGTTTTAAGATTCAACTTCTTAATCATTTTATATATAGGAGTTTGGAATTTCAAGATTCACTTTTATCAAACTGCTTTGGATATCTGCCTTCTTATGTCAAACTTATAAACAGCGGCAGACCAATTTGATAATTGTAATCATGTTCTGATTTGTCTTTTGGTATTGTATTTTCTGGTTATGTGATATATCGACAGATTTAATTGATAAAATATTATCATAAATCAGATAAAAATCACCTGTCATAAAACCTCACGTCCCGTTTTCGTCCATCAATATAACCAAAAGATGAATAAGATTTTGATTTATTTTTAAAATTATTTAATTCACATTATGTTTTTGTGTATGTATATTCATGTAATTAATGGACATAAATAAGAATTTGAGAGATTTTTATGCTCATAAATCACAGTTATCAAAAAACGAACTTACAATTTTTTTCCCGCATGGTATTCCAAGTTTTAGAAAAGGACGACATTAATTATGTGTTTAGAAGACTTTGAGGATATTTGACGTCTCCATAATTATATTATTAAAATATTATTTTATTTCACTTATACCTTTAATTTTGAGGATTGATAGGAATAAGAAAAAAATAATTTCCCTTTCATTTATAATCATTTTATTAAAGTTTTTTAAATTTAGAGAATTTTACTCATTCCTTCTACTTTCTCTATTTTAAAGAATCTATTGATAAAAAGTTGATCTGGAACGTTAAAAAAAGTTATTACAGTATAATAAATAAAATAATTTCCTTAAGAAAAGTTCATAATTGATCTATAAATATGAGTCATTTTCTATAGAATATATGTATTCTTCACCTAAATAGATGAACCAATCTTTTATAAAATAAAAATAAATAAATATTATTGATAGGCTTGAATACCAGAAAACACATAAAGTATAACCATAAACACTTGTATTGCAACTAAATCAACAAAGCAGATCAACAACCAATTCCGGCTTACTCTAAGTTTCTAACGACAAACTTAGATTAAACCCGACTTCAGTTTCTAGCAAGAAACTCAAGCTATGTAAATTTCTAGTTTCTATCAAGAAACTCAAGCTTAGAGACTATGCCGATTTCTAGTTTCTATCAAGAAACTCGGTGATTTCTAGCGAGGAACTCAACTATGTTGATTTTTCTAGTTTCTATCAAGAAACTATCTGGGGGTCAAGAATTACTAACCTCGATAACAAGAAGCACGATCAGAAGGTTAAGCCGGTCTCTGGTTTCTCGTAACGAGCTCCGATAACGCTCTTTTCAGAAAATCTGATCGACTACGATGATAATCGATCCACACGCACAGCTGCCGAATGGCCTCCCGTTTCTCCTCCTTCAAACCCATCATGGATTCATTATTTTCCTTCACAGTTTTCTCCAATTCCCTCACAGTTTTCTCCAATTCCCTCAGTTTGTTCTCCAGTTTCAATACTTTTTCCCTTGATCCTAATATCTCCTCTTCTTTATTATCTAATTGAATTGTAAGTGTTTCAACATCTTCCTTCACTTCCACCATTGCACTGTTCTTTCTTTTCACCCAATCTTTCACAAAGTTTATCTCGCACGACACTTTCGACACACGGTTCATGAAGTCTTCACAACAGTCAACGAATCGCAGCCCGAGCGTCTCGGAGACGCTCAATGTATCGCTCACGGTTGCCATCACGAGCTTGATGCTGCGAAATGCTAGCTCGTTGTCTCTTCGGTCTTGCTCGTATTTATCTTTGGTTTTCTTGTACCAGTCTTTCGTTTCGTTGTGTAGCTGCTCCGCTACGCGGATTCTTTGGCTCAGGATACGGATGCTATCTTCAGATTTATTTCGGAATTCGTCCACCATCTCGCCCATTTTCTTCACACTAGAGTGGAAAGTGGATTTCGCGCTATGGTTTAGCTTGTTGACCAGCATGTCTTTTTGCTCGAGTGTTGCGGCTAAAACGTCATTTTTTCCTTCGAGTTCCCTTTTGTCGATCTCCGAAGACTTGAATTTTTGCTCGAGGGATTTCATCTTGGTCGATAACTCCTTCTTGACACTCTCGATTCTTGATTCAAGAGTAGAAATCTTACCCTCTTTCTGTTGGAGTTTCTCTTCCAGCTGAGAAATTGTTGTTTTTTGCTTCTCGTTTTCTTGTTTCGATAAATGGGCTTCGTCGTGTATGCTTACAATCATGACTTCCAAATCTTTTACTCGCCTTTGCAGACCGTCCCTTTCTTCGACTAAACCCTCTTCGTTTGTGGTCTTTTGGTTTAACTTCTCTGTTAAACTTTCTAAGAGCTCAAGGGAATCTGCGGCTTCTTTAGTCTTTTTCTTGAGCTCCATTTCTGATTCTTGATTCTGAATCCTCAATGACTCAATTTCTTTCTCTTTTTCGTATGTGAATCTTTTCCGAGCTTCATTCTGGGACTGTAAATACTCCACTTCCTTTTGCAAATTATGGAGTCGATCCATGTATTCGTCTATTTTATCCTTGAAAATCTTTTCACACTCATCCATTTTCTTCAAAACCTCACCTTCCTTCTCTTTGAATGCAAGTTCAAGCTCAGAAACCCAAGACTGAAATTCTGATTTTTCCGTGCTTGTTTTATGAACTTCATCATTTCTGCGCTCATCTTCATGTTCACCCTTTTGATGGTTCACCGCCTCGAGCTCGAGATTCAAAGCAGCGATTCTGTCTTCTAACTCCTTCAACTTCGCAGATGACTTGTTTTCAAGATTCTGGTATTTCTTCTCTTTCTCATCCAATCTATCTCTTAAGTACCCAGTTTCCTTCATGAGCTTCTCTACTATTCCACCCCTATATTCTTCCTCCCTTTCTTCCCCCTTATACGAACTTGACACGGGTTCAACACTTAATGCTTCTTTTACAACTTCACTTGTATCCTCTAAAGAATAACATGAAATCTCTGATCTCACACTTTGTCCATCTGTTAATATTGTCACTTTTGGTTGATCATGACTTGGTGTTTTTGATCCACTGCTTGGGGAATAGTATGCAGCTGATTCCATGCTTAATGAATATGACAATGAAGAACTAGAAGACTCGCAGTCTTCTTTATCTTCTTCGTTAATGCATTTTCTTTTCACTATTTCCCTCAAATCTTCATACAAAGCGTACAGTGATTGATACTGTTTATGAATATCCTCAATGAGGTAAAAAACTTCAGACCGTTTCTTTTGGATTGCCTCTCTGTTGCCAGAGTTTAATCCCTTGACAAGCTTCGAGATTCTCTTCACTTTAGTATCCGTTTCTGCATATAGAAAACATTAGTTTCCTGTAATACTAAAATGTTTCATAATGTGTGATAACTGTGCAAGTTGCATGGCATTGCCTCTAAAAAGAATCATAACTGCAAGGAAATGACTAATAATTAATAAGAGGTTGGCTAATCATCCTTAACTACAAAGATGAGATTATAAACTTATCCAGATTTAAGAGGCATAATGATCAGTCAACCGCTATATGATATCTTTAAGAAGTTTAACAACTGACTTGTTCCCCATCTTGAATTCAGTATTAACTTTACCAAGCATAAGTTGTAACATCAAGAATAGGCGTTACTCCTAGTAGGGTTTCTCGTGTCAATTGTACAGCCATGAAATGCAACAGGGAACAATTTTTGGAGAGTTGTCTCGGCTTCTACCATGTCACTTCTGTACCCAAGATAAGCAACTTCCGCATTACCAAAAGGATCACCATGGTGCGAATAACATCAAGCCATGATGGTAGAGCTTTAGACTCCACTATTTTGGTCTAAAAAATGCTATGCGGCAACCTCCAAAAAATTTCTAAGGATCATTGTTTTGGATAGAGATAGTTACCTATTATGATCCATTTCAGCTGTTCTTCCTTTTCTGGATCGACATGGTCCCGAAACATATTCATTGACTCATTCCACCTAAACTTAGTCATTCCTAAGTCCCACAGCACCCCCTCTCAGGCAGAAGCAAGAAACTCAAAATCTGAAAATTCATAATATATGAGTTATAGATCAAGCCCTTTTAAAATGTGCAAAACGTTTAAATGTTAGAACAAGCTATAAAGATTCAGCCCGTTATTTGCCATTTACCATGCTACGTATCTCCTATATGATAAAAATAAATAGAAGGGTAACAAGTTGTGATATTAACTTAAATACCCACACAGTTCAACATGAAATTTAGCAAGGTACCAAGAAAACAGTGAAACATACCTATTACAATGGCAGGCATCAACAAGAAGGTAACACAAGTTATAGAGAGTGGTTTAAGATGTCCATTTCATGATCAAATGTTGCCAGGTCAAAGTTTATGCTACCAGAGTAGATATGATGATGCGAAAAAATGCTACAAGAAACAAATAAGTCATCGATCGTACTTATGAACATGACAGTTTACAACAGTTATTCTATTTTTTACTTCTTGTAGAGACCGAAAACCACAACATGAAAGTGTAAAATCGCATTACATTGACTCTCACATGTAGATAATTCCTTATATTTCAAACTCAAGAGCTAGTTATCCCAAGAACCAGAATCTCTAGTTAATTCCATTTGCTATTATCTCAAAATAATCTTCTTTTTCTTTTCGTTCATGCTTAATTGCTTATGGTTTGGCTAATTGGCTCCACCAGATCCGTCTGAGCGAGCTATGAGCCTATGACCAAAAAGCGGATTGTAGTGAAATAACTTCGTGTTTATCGTTAATTAACAAACTCAGATTTTCCATAGCCAAACGCAAATCAACAATGACAAATGACAATCATAGAAGAAAATGAAAGCAATCAATGTTATTTTTTGCATCTCTCTCCCTCTCCTTGGTGGGCAAGTAATCATACAACACCAATAATCTCACGGCAACAACATTTCAGCTAAGAACACGATAATATTGTTAATTTTCACATAAAAAAACATGGCGTATCACACACACACGTTACACGTAGAGATGCAGAAAGTAGAAATACATTAATTTGCATTGCAAATGCATGCAATTATGAAGGTAAGCAAAAACAAATGCATGATTATAAACAAAAACCTTTAACATATTCAGATTTTGTTGTAAGAAATTAATTCCATGAAGAACACATGATGTATAGTAAGATAATCGGAGATTGAACGTACGAATTTTGCCCTAAATTACCTGAGGAATTGATAGCATCGAGATTCGAGAGAAATTTGGGAATGAATTTTGATTCCTCTACTCCCCGCCTCCAACAACGTCACATGTGGTTGATCAATAAAACTGGTGAACCCGGAAAATGGGCGCACGTTAACAGTATGGTGCACATCAATGTCCGTTCATGCCAGTTTCATTTTTTTCCTTTATAGTAAACTACGGTTTTAGTCCCTCTGATTTGGTTATGTTATGATTTTTGTCCTTGTACTATGGAAATTACAATCTTTATTGCTGTAATTTGTAATTTATTACTAGTTTAGTCCCTAAGATAATTCATTAAAATTAACACAAGAATAAAAAATAACAATAAATTGTAAATTACAGAACAAAAAATAAAGAAATTATAAACAAATAACATAAAAATAAAATAAATTATAAATTATAAAAACGAAAACCATGTTTTAAAAAACATAAAAATAAATATAACAATTTAAAAAACATGATTAAAAATATATAATAATATACTCATTAAAATATTTAAAGTGTTTTTAGTTGATATAATTATATAACTTATTTTAATTTAATGTTCTTCCCTCTTGTTTAAGGGTATTTTGATTAGTTTTCTATTAAGTACTGTATGGATAAAGTTGTCTATATAATCTGTCTGTGTAGATTGAGATGATTTTTGTTTGAAAGCGTTTTTTCATAAATGAAAGAAACGTGTTTTTTAATTGAAAGAGACAAGTTTAGAAGAAGAAAAAAACTTGACTTTTTGTATAAAACTTCCCATAAAAGCTTACTGAATAAACGGATTTTTATTTTATTAAATTAATACCAAACAATCATGTATATCTAACGAATAAGTTGTGATTCTTATTAAACTCATTAAACTGCTAACAAACAAGCCCTTACCCTCTTCCATATGTTCTTTATCTTTCATTATTTCCATCTTTTTTTCATATCATGTCTCAAGAATAAATAGGCCATATATTTTTATACGACAAAAGTTACAGTAAATGGCCGTTTACTCAAATGTTTAATCAATAAGCGTTTACCGATAATAATCAATATTTTCGCTTATCTTACCAGATCAAATTTTAGTTCATTAAAACGACATCGTATATAACAATTTACATGATATTCACTAACCGGGTAAAAGTTTTTATACCATGTAAATTGTTAAAGTTTTAATGAAAAATCAAAGGGCAACTCAGCACAACTTAAACCAAAGTGCAACCCAGCTCAAAGTTTTGGTCTTTGCTAAAGTTTTTTTTACCGGGATAGGATTCTTGGTTCTTTCCACTTTCACCCTGAAAAGGTAAGCGCTTAACGTGTAAGTGTTAGGTAAACCACATCCAAAAATTAAACACAGTAATAATTAAGATATTAATGCTTATGTTTAAAATGTTGGTTTTAGTATATCTCTGACTTGTCTTGGTCTGTTTATTGGGTTTTTTTATTTTTTTCAATAGAAACTTTTATAAATAATCTTCTGAAGTTGCGATAATCACATATCTACTTAGACTGTCGATGAGATTACCTATTTAAATATCTTAATTTTGTTCGAGATTTATATGTTGGAAAATTATGGAAACCTATATGTACGAAAAAAAAAAACAAGACAAACGTGGATGAGTGCATACACAAGAAAATTGGAAAAATCTGATAAAAATGTGATATAATAATTATTTTTGGATAATTCCACACTCTCTCATACTTTTTTCCATTTCGGATAAAGTTTTAGAGAATCTTTTTGAGCAAAAATTTGTATAAAATCTTCATTTTTTCAATTTTAAAAAAATCCATTAGAGATGCTCTCATACAATCGGTGCTCATGAGTTGGGTTGGTCGGGTTGAAAACATCTTAACAATCTAACTCAATGTTTGCGGTTTGAAAAATCTTAACTCAACCCAACTTAAACCAAAGTGCAACCCAACTCAACTCAAACCGTACGGGTTGGTCGGGTTGATACTTTAGTACATTAAAAGATTCTTCTAATCTTGAATATGTTATTTCTCTACTTATAATTTTTTTTCATCATTAATCATTTGATACAACTTATTTATATTTCTTACGCATATCACATTCAGTTATTTTTCTCAATTTACATATATATGTTCACAGTTACTGAACATATATACCAATGAGTTATATAGATATGTGAATAAATTGAAAATATGTGTATATGAAGAGCATACATGATAGGGTAATTGTCTAATGTATATATTAATAAAAATCCAACAATCATATTAAATCCAATAAATAAAAGGATATCGAGTTCATCAGGTTGGGTTGGGTTCAAATAGTAGTAACCCAACATCAACCCAATACCTACGGTTTGAAAATTTCACAACTCGATTAGACCATCGAGTTACTTCGGATTGAGTTGATCGGATTGGTCGGGTTTTTGAGCACCCATATCTTATACTATAAACAGAAAAGGTAGAAACAGAGCCAACAATTCTTTAAAAACAAGACTATAATATATTTAAGAGATAATAATATTATATGATAAATTCGATTAAAATAACGATACCATTTTAATTGTTAAATTTAATGAAATTATAAGTTTGTATATTTGTTTAAGTACTTGTGTTAAACGATGTCATTTTAGGAAGTTTCTACTATTCGACTATTAAATTTTATTTTTTGGGAGTTACCATTTTATTGCAAAACCATACTTATCTTAAAATAAACATTTTAAATAATTAATAAATTATTTTAACGATTATTCTAAAATAAAATAAAAAGGTAAAAATCATTAAGTTTGGAGAAATCTTTAAAGTTTTATATAAAAGAGATAAATAATATTTTTATTTTTTTTAAGTATTGAAGATAAATGTTTAAAAAAGAAAAATAATATTTTATTAAATAAACCGCAATAACAAAATAAACCCAAGTCTAAACATCAATATCAAAAGCAAACGTAGACCCTAATTTTCATAACTCAAAATCAAAACCCTATTCCAATGTTAAGCAATCATCACTAGATCAAGAAATATTAGGCCATGTTTGTTTTTACCTAAAAAGCACTTAATACCCTCTTATGTCTGAATCGGTCAGACCTTA